GAGAATGTTATTGCTTATATTAATAGGTTTTTTTTGTAGTCCCTTCATATTTAACAAAAAAAAGTAAAAACCAAAACAAAAAACAGTAAAAGATAATTCCGGTAAGCAGAATCTAAATATGAGAACATTACTACAAAAGCTATATCCCTCAAAAAAGATAAACTTTTTTTTTACCCACATTATTTACTGTGTTAATATACAGACAATTTGTGAATGAGTTGTCACATTTTGATTATACTTAATGACAAGGAAACTAATTGCCTAATTACACATTCATCAGTTTTGGTATTATGGTTTTCTGTCACTCCTGTGTCCTGTTATTATTTTTTTAAATCATCAGATTTTCTTGTTTTTTTTTCTATAAAAATGTATTTGCGCCTGTCAACTTATTATAAACAATCAGCAAATGTGATGGCGAAACATGAAATAATGACATGACAGGCATGGGGAAGGAAAGTACTCAGCAGTACCTCTTCCCTAACTTGTTCCAATTATTTAGGTTGTCTAAGGAAGGAGATCTCTCATCCAACGCCTTTTTAGTATCCTCCTTACGTTCTGAGGTATGTCAGCTGTGAGGTAAGTCATATCTTTCCGTTTAAATTAGTGTAAAATCATTGATAAAGGGTCGTTGTATGTTGGTCAACTGTTGGAAGATGGAGGTCAGTATGGAGAGTTTTGTTAGTCACGTACCAAGGAGCTTTTGTTATGAGTCGCAATAATTTTGATTGGAACGTTTGAAGTTTTTGTAGGTGGGTCTTTCTAGCGATACCGTATATTTTTGATAAGTATGGGTTTAAGTAAGTATGTATATGTATTCAGTTTCTGTTTTTGTTTTAGTTTTGAAGATTTGACAAAAAGAGAGTAAAGTAGTTTGAGTCGTTTGTTAAGTGTCTTACGTTACATTTTAACATGTGGACCCCATGTCATCCTTCTGTCGAAGGTGAGTTCAAGGTAAAGTACCGTGTCCGTTTGAGGAATTTTATTGTTGTTAATACGAACGGGAGGGTAGGTGTTTTTCCGAAGAATAAATGTTATATGTTTGGATTTGGATTTAATATTAATAATGCAAGTAGTAGTATCCTACGTTTCTCGTATTATTACTTACTAATAATGACGGAAAAATATGTGATTATGTAAAAGAATCTATTATTTTAACAGTTACTATAAAATTACAGAAAAGACGCTTTTTTTTTTTTTTAATTTATAAGAAATCAAAGATTTCTCTTGATGTTGAAGGAGAACATTTCTAGTGAACATTTTCGCTGAGTGTTATTCAATATTTACGATAGCTTCCCTTGGCCTAAATAAAACTGTTGAAAAGGGTTTCAGATATCTTGGAACCGATAGCATTTAATGAATTTCACAAATGAGCGATGATAGAATCAGCGAATCCATCTGTGAGATGTTGCAATCCATGTTTTATCATTTTTACGCTCGTTGTCTAAAATATATCAATGGACTCGGGAGCGTTTGAGCCAGATAAGAAGCACAAAGCATGGCCTTGAAGTTATGAGGAGAATTAAAAATGATAAATGAGTGTTCAATGTCTAGCCATCTCAGTTGTCACTATGAAAACTGAACCTTATGTCATCAAAGGCAAATAGCTTTGTAAAAATTAATGATTTATTGGTCAGATTAATCATGAGTGTTGTTTTAATCTGTATGTTTATTATTGTTCACCGAAAATAAACATTATAAAGCTTTCGTAAACATTTACTGCGGGTAATGACTTATGATGTACTGAATCTACTGAATATTTTATTCATCGTTAATTATTGCCTTTACCTCACATAAATGTGGATTAGCTCTTTGCAATCGCATTTTTTAATGCGAAAATCATTTTTCCGTTGGCCTAGTAGCAATGATGTGTTCGATAGATATTCTCTGACGTTTGAATACAACTATACATCATAATTATATATTTAAGACATTTTAAACTGAAACTGAACTTAATGTCATAAAAGAAAAATTAATTCCCAGGAGTAATCACGAATACTGGTTTAATTTTTTTGTATATCTTAGAGCCGCCTTAACAAGCCTGCTCTATCTCTGTCTGTTAGCTATTTCTTTGCACTTGTCTGCACGCAGCTCTATTGCGTATTTGTTGATTCTTTCTATCCATCTGCTTTTTTGCCAAGCAGTCTTTTGCCTTCTATTGAGGCATTCTTTGTTACGTAGAGGCTTCCTGATGGAATGCTATGAGCTACATACTTAACCTCCGTGCCTTCATATCATGGGATATCGATTGATCATTTTCTGTAAGCAGTTCTTTAGTGGTATTTCTTCTCCATGTATTAGTACTCTGATCCAAGTTAGCCCTGTTTACCGTGCAGAAGATTTTTCTCTGACATATTTTAATACTTTTATCTAGGGTGCTGGTTAGTATCCAGGTCTCACAGCCATATATTAGAATTGGCTTTATCATAGCATTGTACACTCTTAATTTGAGATTTCTTGAGATTTTTCTAGATTTTAATACCTTTGAAAGGGAGAAGAAAGCTCTGTTTGCGCTAGGTATACACTGGTTTATTAGGTATCTTTATTTATAAGTAACTTTATTAGGTTCACCGAAAAAAAAAACATTATAAATACAGTTGCAATGGCTAATGAGAAGATATTTTTTATAAACAGTAAGAAAAACACTGCAAATCGTGAAAAATTTCGAACTCGATTTGTCAACGGATATACACGTTTTGAGGTCCATGGAGTCCAAATAACCAAGGCTCGCAAAATGGTATGTGTTTACGCAAACACCTTTAGCTCGAAAGCAAAAAGTTGTCGGAAACGAAAATTAGTATTTGAAAAAAGTACATGCCCGGGATGTTAAAGTAACTTTTAAAACCACCTAGCAGTTCTGGTAACACTCTAAATATTGAATTTTTCGATTTTCTCTAAAATAGTATTATGTATACCAACAACAAAATTGTGAATGTTAATGCTTGGTTAAAATCCTTATAAAAAAATTTTAAAAAACTGTACCACTACAACCCATGAATAATCTTGGGTTCAGTACTATTTTATATAGGGAAAGTACTGTTTTAAGGCCAACTGCTAGGAGTTCTTAACGGAGCAGATCTCTGTGCACCTGAGACGTTTATATAATGGTTATATTTATTTATATAAAAAATATAATCAACTACGTAATCAAACGGTAGGAATTTTCCATGTTATTGCTTATTGTATGTATTAATATAAATAATCACACGACTTTCTTTACATTATATATTCCAAGTCTAATACGGAAATTGTAATTTGCATCTTAGGTTATTAAACAATTTAAATATATTTTAAATGAACAATATGAATGTTTCTCGAAATAGTTTTAGAATTATTCGATTAACTAATTAAAACTTATTAAAGCTTTCCTTGGAATCCGGTTTGCTTCTAAAAAATTGGAACAAAGTTCAATACGACATTTGAATATTTTTTGTTAATTTCTATAGAATAAACTTATCTTTCAATATATGCTAATATAAGTTACCATAAACTAACCAGGCGATCATACAGGATGGCTACCAGACAATAATAAATATAAAATTCTCTGACTTTTCCCTATTTAACGATAGTTTTCCCTGACAAATAAGTCTAGGAACATTGATATTAACAACGTATAATTTTTAAAGGAAGGAGATGGCGGTCACAAATAGGCTAAATAGTTTTACCACTATTTAGCCTACTTATGGCCGTCACCCCGGACCATCTCCCTCCTTTATAATGCAACGGTCAACTATTAAATATTCTGTATAATTTTTAACTAAATTTATTTATTATATATGAAAGACTGGAAAATGATTTGAGTAAAAAAAAAAAAAATCATTCTTTTAAATAACAAATAACAAGTTTTAGATGATATATATTTATAAGCTTGATTATAATTTTTATTTTATAATTTTTTTTTTCCAACGCCTCTTGACTCTTTTTTTGACTTTCGCTATTAATCTTCTCGCAGCATTGGGGCTGTTTTAGGTGATAGCTGTAATCGTTTGGTTCTCTTCTTAAAAAACTAAACTTTTAGTAATTTTTTTTTCTTTTGTTTTATTTTCATAAACTGAGAGGAGGTAATAGTCTGATTTTTTTCTATTATAAAATAAAGTAAGCTACGGGGGATTCTAAAATTAATGTATTAATTAGTTTCTTTATAAACAACATCATAATTATTCATATGACATCAATTGTGCAATTACTGGTTAATAAATGCTCTTTTAAGCACCACCACGGATCGAACGAAGTTAGTGCTCGCCAGCTAGATCTGGACCCATATAGATGTATATATTAAAAATAGTAGATAGTATTGGTGTTTTTCTTTTCAAAAAAATCACTTTTTTAAGTCCATTTAGCTTAAATTGTATTCATTACCCTAGTTTGATTATATATAATCAATAATCAATATAACGATCAGTGCCGTTATTGACAGTCAAATGCGGATGAATATAGCGACCGAACCCCAAACTTTACCCCTTCAAGGTTGTTATAAACAATATTCACTGTACATTTATTTTCAATTTGAAAAAAACTATTTAAGTACTAATAAAATTCCCTGCCTTTAACAATTTTTCCTTGACTTTTTACATTTTCCCGGTTTCCATCCAGTCATACGACAGACACAAACAAAAATGTTTTTTATTGGATTTAACAATCTTTGTAAAGTTATAAATCCGTTGAAATATGTACATCCAAAATTTTACCAAACATCACTATCATCACCTGATAGTGGAATGAAAGTAACATACAAAATTATGTTTGAAAAATTGCTATAAATATTTTTTTCTTTTATAAAAGCTTAAGTTGTGATAAATGATGTTTTTCATGTTCTGGTAAACAGGGGACATAATTAGTGAATACGACGGTTCTTTCAAGTGGGGTTAATTGAGATTAGGGAATATATGTTGCGATATCCCTACGTTTGGAATTCAACTGTTTCTTTTCCTCAAAGGTGATGAAGCGTTTCTGAGAATGGTGGAGAAATATGGTGTGTGAAGAAATCAAACTACTTGACGGTGATGGATGCGACTGATGGCATTAAGAAGCCATCTTTGACAATGACATTAACAGAATTGGTGCCAGAAGCGATGATTTTCCTTAAGCTACCTCCAGTTCTCCAGGCTCGCCTAATTGTCAACCTTGCCCTCCCGTCAAGGCCGTTCAGCAAAAAACCGGTACCTTCTGGTGGGACCGAGGCATCCAGCGTCGACCGCATCAAAACAACCGCTGTTAGAATATCATCAAAGAGCCTTTCGAATTAAAGATAATATCATTAATAGTCAATTACAACTATGAAATGATCTTTTATATGCACAAGGAATTCAAAATAATTAATAATTTTCAGGAAATATTTAAAAGTCCGCGGTACAGACCCCTTTGTATATAAAATTGTTAACATCAGCCAAAAATTTCGTGAATGCCTTCAACGTACCGTATTTTTCTTTGGATGTAGATTGTTAGTTGGAGTTAGTTCCTTCTTTGGAGCGTTGCGCTGAAAATAACTTTTTATCATGGACTTATGATGTAACAAATTATATGTGTAACAATTTTGTAACAAATTTCGATCGTCTGTCCCAAAATTATTATTATTTTTGTTTTAATTTCTCGATTAGCCATCTTTAGCAACATCTACTTATTTATTTTTAACGTTGAATCTCATTCATAATTCACTGAGCATTCTTAGTTTTGTCATTTTTTATTTATTTCAAAGACAAGTGACACTATTTTAATTAATATTATTATTAATGATCTTACAAAACATACAAACAAGAAACAATAATAATTTACGTTAAATATAACAAATTTTGTTTAAAGCAGTTAAAAACTATTAAACGAATATTAAGTTAATAAAAATTGTAAGATAGAAGATCACAATTTGTATATTGTTTTCATTTATATTTATAATAATTGATCTGTAAAAAACTATTTTTGTCTTTTAATTATTGAAAAATAAATAGTATCTGTAAAACGTAATAGTGCTTTAAGATAAAATTTAATGAAACACATTAGTTGAAGTTTCTAAAATAAAAAACTCAATGATTAACCTTGCGAAATGATTTATTGGGTACTTTTCCAATATAAGAAAAATATATTTTAATTTAATTCATGCTTAAATTAAAAAAAAATATATATATATAATAAAAATAACCGTAATACGTTTTATGTTATGCATGTTGATTAATACATAAAGTTGGGTTAATGATTTTTTTGTAAAAAATAAATAACTATAAATGTAATAAGTAATTCAGTAATATTTGGTTATATAATGTAAGCTGTAAACTAGTAATGAGTTTTTTAATTCAAATCTTTTTTCCTGGTAAGAGAGAGTTGGCTGAAGCCATTATACTGTCGTCAGAAAGTAATGGAAAGTGAAGTTATTACTTTAATAGAGAATATGTTGGAACATTTTTTACTGAATACATTTATGGTAATTCATGATAGACAAATTTATTGAGATGTGACAAGCTTATCTAAATGAGCCTTATACTCTCCTTAGTTTCCAACGTAATTTTGAAAAACCATTATGTAACGCGTAATGTTCTTGGCTATATCAAAATATATTTCAGTATAAGAATTATTACAGGGTATGTAGTGGTTATATTAGATAAATTCCATGTAGTATATATGAGGCGATTCAGGAGTGCCCAACATCCCAACGTCGATGGCGCATGCCCATATCTATCCTCTTCTTAAAACCTTGGCAATAATAGTAAAATTATAGAAATTGTAGTTTTTTTTTTGTCTTTGTTCTTTAGTTTGAACGTTCTCTTCAAAATCACCAAAACATGGTTCCCTCCAAAATTCATAACCTAAATATGAGTCCCTTTAATAAACCAACAACTCTATAAAAATGCGCATCCTTTACAAATTTTGCTTGCCTATGCCCTTCTGGGCACCACTGACGCGATTATTTTCAAATTTAACTCCTGTTCAAATATTGTACAGAGTAGATACATATTTGATATTTGGAACTGAGAAATTCTGGTTTAATTGTTTCCTGTCGTTGGTGTTCTTCTTTTTCTCCACCCCTTCCTAGCCTTTAGGTGATAATGTTTTTTTCTGAGCCAGAGGAGAGGGCGGAGGATTAATGCCAGAAGTCCTCTCGGCACCGGGTCGCGAACTCTTAATTATTTTATTAAGTTGTCTTCAGTTATCAGATCGAAGGGAAACGCTTGTTTTGCACTCTCGTTAGCCCGCTCGTCAACTAGGCTCTCTGGTTTTCATATTCAAATTGATAGAAAATCACAAATCTCTGTTCAAAAAATTTTGTTTCATAAATTCAGATTCTTGTTCAGCAAATGCCCCCCCAAAAAAGTGAGCCACTGAAAATAATTACAATAGAATTTTCAAAAAAGTCCATTTTGAACCTAATTTGACTTGACTTTAGGTAACCCAATGAGGTTGGTAACGCTTCATTGAGACGTACGTTTTTATTCATTATGTTTTTTCTAGGTAATGCAATGTTTAGAAAAATATTATTGGAATAAAAAAGTTTGAATATAGTTAGATTTGAATCTAATCGCCGCACATCTTTATATATTATCTATATTCATTACCGTATCACGTTTAACATAAAAATGAACAAGTTTGTTACTTTTAATTACTAATTAAAATTAATATCTTTTACATAATAATAAATGATTAATGATTACTATTTGTTGAGAAAAGGATGTATCATAACTGATGATTATGGTAGGGTAGGTTAGGATTGGTCTAGACGTGTCTAACCCGCACCTGGTCCAATAACTCGAAGGTAGTCTGACCCAAGATAAATGAATCAGTTGTTTCAAAAACGTCACATAAGACATTCTCACAATTTTCAAAGCCACGGAAAACCCATATATACTAAAATTTTCGAAAAATAAATTCTATTACAATATTTATGTAATATGTGCTGTGGCATTAAAATAGATTTATATGCGCATTTTATCCGGAACAAGCCTCAATTCAAAACCGAGAAAAACTTAAACATGTGTTGCTTCAAAAATAACCCTTCAAATATGGTATAAGTATGTTTGTGGACACTTCCAAAGTCTCCACTTTTAATAAGGAACTACAATTTTTGTGTTTCGCTAATTACTTTCAAAGTGATATTTAAATATTGACAGATTGCGATGCTAAGACTGCAGAATGATTAGCGCTCTCAGCTGAGCAGGAATCCAGATCCACTGACCGCTTTCTAATTTCTCCAGCTTCCAGTCACAAGCTCTCACTGATGCAACCTATGGTCTCATTGTTACCTAACCATCATCGGTTTATTTGCAGGTTATTAGGTCACTTCCTGTATTACCTGTTCTAAAAATGACTACATGTGCCAAATTTTAGAGTTAAAGTTTCCAAAACCTGAATCGAATACGCGGTATTTGACATTCAGATCTGCAATAAATTCCGCAACACTGCCTCTCTGATTTATTGCAAATTATTTCTTCGTATTTGTATTACTTATTTTCCACTATCTAAATTATATTAATAATAATGTTCTCCTATTTGTATCCAATAAAAATATAAAAATACACAAATATTCAAGTTCTTGTTAACTCTATTAATATTTCATTTCAGTCATATTTGCATAATCCCACATTCTATTTAGAATGGTGCGTGATATATATTTAGAATGATATATCGATAGGTTAACTTTTAAAACTTAGCAATAGATATTGTTTTGTTTTTTTAACTTAATGTCCATCAGTTATGTAACATAAGTGATAATCAGCTAATTGTTTGTCTACTTGAGAAATAATTGCATTGACTTTCCGGACTTACTGCCTACGTCCTTGTATATTTACATATTTGTAGAATGCTACTTTAGGAGAAAGTGAGCACAACTAAAACGTTATGCTTAATTATAAATTGCAAAGTTTGATGTAATTATTTAGAATCTTTGGGTTGAGAGAGCACTGTTTTTTCGTCAGCGAAAGTTGCAGTCAACGCCTCATTATTACAGGTATGACCTGAACATATATATAAAATATGTACTAAGGGAGCAAGTATTGAACCTTGGCGTACTCATACCTAAATATTTATAATATTATTAGTTACCAAAGTTCATGACCATGGAGAGATTTTTTTGGACTGAACATAGCAATACGAATTTCTTTAAAAACAATGCAAACAAATTTCTTCGTCTTTATCAAAAGTTGGTTAGTTCAAAAGATTTTTTTTTTCACACGCGAAATTTCAATATAGACTTTCAATTTTTCTTTTTTTTTTAATAGGTTTAAGACTTATTATCCTCGGAAAATAATATAATTGTGTACTGCACTTATGGTCATCATAGGTGAGGATGCATTTTGCACCTGTTTCAGAACTGCTAGTATACAATGCATGGGCTTTCGGAGATGTCTGATACATATATATATATATATATATATTTTTTTTCCTTCCGTGTTACATTTCGACACCTCCAGCGGGTCCCTTTGGATCAAATCAGCTTAAATTCGGTAGAAAGAAAAATCCAAAAAATGGCAACAGTTTAGATAAATTTTATCGAATATTCGGAATGTCAAAACTTTATTCGGAATGACTTTAAATTTTTTCACATCTCTTCATCCTGAAAGGTTTGAGATTTTTTATGTAAATTAATTTGGAATTGGAAGTTACTTCTGAGGATCTCAATTTCCCCGCAATTTTCGTTTGCGGATTTTGAATTTTTGTATGATTTTGAAGAATTTGGTGTGAATCTGAAATAAGAAAATAATTTTAAAATTAAACAATCATATTATTTGATATTCCAAAAGATAATGGAATCGGGAAAAAAAAAAATTGAAAATGGACCATTTGTTGCAGAAATATAGTGTTTTGAAGTTGCACAATATAAATGACTTGAAAAATATAAATCTATGTAAGCATTCAAAATGTTAATTTGAAACATAATCTTATTTTCTACTTATCTAATAATAAAATATGATAAAAAAAATAGGGTCAATTATAGCAAATATTTTAAAGTTGTAATTAGATTTTAAGACGTAAGTGAGGCGAGATACGCCATCCATATTTAATATATAACTATCTATGCTATAACTACCCGGAAATAGCAGTTACTGAAATAACAGCTCCTAACAAGTTAAAAAATACTGCGGGAAGTATTTAGGAAAATGTCAGTAGAGGCCAGTGTCCCTGCTCCAGTGCATTCAGCTGAACTATTGCAACGTTGTCGTGCCCTTGAGTACTATTACTTCTCATTTAAATGCGGCCAGGACATGAAATATTACTATAAACATCCTCTTTGAACTAAAGCCATGAAATGCCAGATATAAGTTTCATAATGCATATTAAAAGGTCTATTGAAACCACAGGCGGATTTACAGGGCGGGCGGATTCGACTGAAGCCCCCCCCCCCTCCAAATGGTAAAATGTAACCA